GATGAGGATGATGAGGATTTTTTTTTTTTTTTCCTTAATGGAAATCTTCGAGCGAGACCGAGATTCTTTTTCGGCTCCATTGTCAATATACTTAGAGGCAACTCCACAAGTCCAATAAATAACTCCGTTCGAATTGCCATTGTTCCTGGACCTTCGAACATATGTTTGACATCCTCCTTGTCATGGCTGCATCTTCGGCAATGTGGACGTAGCTCTTCATAAAAACAAAGTTCTTATACCATCTCAAGCTCCAATGATGGTCCGACCCCAGTCTCGCTAGCTGAACCTGGTCCCGCAGCGACATGTGATACTTTATTCCTGCTTATTGGAGTACCAAGAATACACATCTTCCAGGTGGTGGTACTTAACTCTTCATGGTTTCCCTCTTGATCATTGGAAAGACTCCTCTGTATGATGATGATGATGATGATGATGATGATGATGATGATGATGATGATGATGATGTTGATGATGATGATGATGATGATGATGATTAGGGGGGGAAAAAGACAGTGTGTTGTTTTCTTCTGTTTTCGGTCCCTCTTTTCTATATGACATATCACGGTATCCAGTAAACAGAATTATAAGAAGAGGGAGAGGATTCAACAAAATAGTCAACAAGCCAAAGAGCCTGATCCTGCCTTCCAAATATAATATAGTGAGGTGCAAAAAGAACGCGAATTTTTTATGTTGATGTAATCGCCCAATGCTGAGTTCATAGTTGTGTGATATGAACTCATATCACTCAACACTTGCCTCGAGCGTCTTGAATGGGCATTTTTGAGCATGGCAAAGGTGTCATTGGCTGCGTAAGTAATACACAACTCACGAGTCATCACTAACCACTGGGACACACTTGCAATTTGTTGTCAGTGGTGAGTTTATGCTCACTCAGTCCTGAGCGTATGCCTATAAAATCCGCGCCTCGAAATGTTGCATTCATATCCAAAGAGACGAGCTGCCGAGCTACAAACATACCAAGGTTGTCAAGGGAAAACAGAGAAAGAGCTGTCGGACGACTGGCGGCCGGTGAGTCGGTGGAACAGGTGTTCCAGGTTTTTGGTGTCCACCCAAGCACCATTCATCACCTTCGGAACCGATTACAAGCGACAACGACCACAGCAGATCGACCAAGAAGCGGAAGACCAAGGGGGACAACTCCGGCCCATGATCGTGTCATCGTTTGTCGGCACCTCCGCGATCCGTTTCTGCCGGCTGTAGAGACTGCCAGAACAACCATGGGAACGACTGGAAGTTGGAAGCCAGCTTAACCGCTGGATTGTGTCATGGAGGTTAGTGACTACTGGTCTTCACTGCAGGCGTCCTTACCAGGGAGCTGTCCTAACACCAAGGCATCTACAGAAACGGCTACAGTGGGCGCAGGCGCATGTCAACTGGCGTAACTCACAGTGGAGGAGAGTCCTCTTCAGGGAAAAAAGCAGGTTCTGCGTCGATCCAGCGAATGGCCGTGTCCGTGTGTGGCGTAGAGACACGACTCGCTATGACGACAACAACGTTCTGGAACGTGACCCCTGGGGAGGCGAGAGCGTAATGATATGGGGAACCATGGCGTTGAATCATAGAGTGGGACCGGTCATCTTCCAGAACATTGGTCCAGGACGCAGAAACGGCGTCAGGGCTCAACGCTACATTGCACAAGTCTTGGCACCTCATGTGGTACCCTTTCTACAGAGGCATCCTAACAACAAGACAACGCACGACCACATACCGCACGTGCTACCCAGAACTTCTTGGCGCAGCACAATGTCAATTTAATGGCACACCCACCTCGCTCACCTGACTTGAACCCAATTGAACATTTGTGGGACGTGATTCAAAGACAGCTTAACCAGATGCAGCCCCGGCCTCGAACAGCAGCCCAGTTGACAGCAGCCATCATCCAGATCTTCGGCGGCATCCAAAATGGCCAGATCAACTGTTTGATTAACTCTATGAACAGAAGATGCCTCACTGTAATCGCTGCATGTGGAGGCCATTCGCGTTACAAAGTTTGCTCACCAAGGTCAAGGTCAATGAATGTATTGGATCCTCAGTTCATGCCAGCTATGTCACTCAAGAAGTGTGCAAAGTTTAAGCTAATAAACACAACAAATAACTTGAAACCTATGTGTTGCATTTTGTCAATCATTGTGTTGTAATAAAAATTTGTGATTTAAAAAAAAATGTTTTGCACTTCAGTATATTATGCTTTCTCGGACTTGCAGACCCGAGCAGCCTGCATAAGATAAAGGAGGAAAAAAGACGCCGAGAGACAACAGTTTTAATTTTGCCTGTAAACCGAAGCATGGATGCCCACTCAGAATTATTTTCTCGTTATGGTTTAGAAAGTCTTTTTTTTTTCCTTTCGGAATTCCGTTTCTGAATCCAAACAGGCCGTTTCGACAGCTTAGTTAATGGTCCCGATGGTCTATGAAAAGGAAAGGTCATCCATATGAACACAAAATGCAAAGTCTCATGAAATCGCGGCCTTTTTTATTTTAACTCTTTAAAGATGAAATGGACACATTATGTCAGATCAAGAGACAATAAAAGGAAATGTTGCAGCACATTTTTCACCAGTATACACACATTTTAATCTGAAACACGACGTTGGTTATTATATTTCATAGTATGTATGCTGTTGCCTGCCATTTAGGATTTAGGCAAATAAAACAAAATTGAACACGTCAAATGACCAAAATGTGCATCTTCAGTGAGTGAAAGGGAAGAGAGGGAAAAATGTATTTATTCTATTGTTTTTCAACAGAAAGCATAATAGTCAATTATTTATATTATAATTGATTATAACACCAGAAACTCAGCAATAGCACAATACCGGTAGCGAAAAGCTGCTGTTCGGATCTACTGCCATGTCAGATAACGAACACGACCTGACTGGAAGCAGCAGGTATTAATGGCATCGTCAGTTCTCTGAGTTACGCTGACAATTAAACTATAAAATGGGGTCCTCATGACCTAGAGTTTTATGTGTTCGCCTCTCATTCAAAGGTCCCGGGTTCGAAATCGGGTAACGACGGAAAATTTTTCTTCTCTAAAATTGTCTCCTTTCGCCTCCTTCCTTTCACCTGCTTTCCTGCTCTCTTGCAATGTTCTGTCGTCTGCTTTCGTCTCCACTTTCTGCCCCCACCCCTCACCTCCTTTGCCCCCCTCCTGACTTTTTCTGCTGTCTTTCTACTGCTACTCCTAGGCTCCTTCTTAAAAATGGCTATCTTTCAGCTGCATCCCTGATCTTCTGGAAGAAAAGATGTACACCTAGCCTTCTCGGACAAGGGTGAAAAAATCTCGGAGGTCCCGTGTGCAAATTGCGCGTTAAAGATCCCTTCCTGGTCTAAAATTGAAAAGAATAGCCTGCTCCGGTTGCCACCAGGGCAAAATTCAAAATGTCCTACCAAACAAAAAGGTTTAGTTTGTCCCGGGCGCTCATATGACCTTATGCAGTTGCGAGCGTCGTAAAACACTTACCACCACCCCCGCCAAAAAAATATATATTTTAAAAATTAATAAAAGACTTTACACATATATTATTAGACCTATATATTATCTACATATTATATTGCTGAATAGCCAACGAAGCGACTTCGTAATCTCTTGAACATTTTTCTTTGTTTAAAATTAAACAATAAGCCTACGCATTACACGTGCATTGTGCATGTAACTGGGACAGATGTATAAATGTACATAACTACCAGGATCATCATCTCTCCCCAACACACACACATACACCCTAAGGGTGGGGGGGGGAGCAAAATTGGTTTGAACATTTCAAATTGTTGCCAATTGTTTGCCTGGGCCTGGGGACTTACATTAGATTTGGACCCCTGCTCTATAACTTGTCCTACTTAAGCCACACAACTTTATAATTTTGTTGTCGTCGAGACTCACGAACATTTCGCTCTACAGTGTCGCTTGTGAACTGTAGAGCTCACAGTTATGTCGCTAAAGCACGAACAAAATGTAAACTGAGTGATCATCCTGCAACTACATAATAGCATGTCACAAAAACGATCCCAAGCAAATTTACAACGTTAGGCTAGCCTAGAGATTTGGATCATGGGGGTTCTAGTCAATCACACAATGTTTAATAATACCCTTTCTTTCCCCGCCGCTTTCTGGTGAGACGAGTGGGTTGTGTGATTTGTTTCCGTTCTGGTAAGGTTAGTGGTGATAATAAACAGTAGACCAGTAAATTCAGAACTAAAATTCCAAATAGTAGGCCTACAAACTGCCCAATATTGTCAACATGAGGGTTACATATTTAACAGTAGGCCTATTATAAATGTTGCAGTTGAGACAAACACTTCATTTTAACTTACCGCTTTGCATAGGATATTTATAATGACCAAACTTTAAATTATATAGATCTAGATCTACAATTGAACATATACCTTTAAAAATACTGTGGTGGAGTAGTTGTAACAGGAGATTAGCATCTTTTCCTTTGGGCAGGGGGGGGGGGCACAAAGATTTAAAGAAAAGGAGGAGGAGGGGTTGCATTGCTCCTTAGTAAATGTGCCCAAAATTCGTACGTTCCACTCCCACTGCAGAAATGGTACAATATCTTCCAGTTGCACATTGTACAGTATAGACCAGAGCATTTTACATGTAGGCCTAGCCTAGGCCTGGACGAAGGAGGTTGTTAACAACAAATAGATCTATGTACCTCTGGACCTAAAAATTGTAACAATAGGCCAATATAAAAGTTTATTAATTTGATATAGGCTATAATCTTCTTTGCTCATTTTACAGCCACCGCCCCCCTCAGAATATTAAAAAACTAGAAACATGAAACAAGTGTCGCAACAAAACGAACCGAAGCGAATGGTTGTTTATTTTCATGGCAACAAACTGTCTGCTATCATTGTCATGTCATTTTAAAACATCATTGCATATCTATTATCTAGGCCATACCAAAGAGAATAAAAGTTAAACGCGTATGGGATAGATCTAGATCTAGATCGACTTTAAAAAATCATTTTGTGATTTCATTTCGTTACGTTTGACAGTCAGCGACAAAACTAATTTACAGTAGTACGGTTAAGCCGACGCAATGCCAACGACACTCGTATTCAGTGAATCAGGTTCTAAATTTAGATCTAGCTACTGGTGCTAAATCAACAATAACTGGGACTGTATTCTCTGTGATTCGCAAAGAAGTACAGTGAAAACTGAGCTCGTGGTTATACTACTCATTCTTGCAGTGGGTTAACCACTCCGAGAGCATTCTCGCAAATTTTGCATGTTTCAGTAAGTACTTTATTTAGCGCATCTTCCCGATACGCCACACTACTCACTCTACTGTTACTAACTTCAGTTACTCAAGTCGTCAGTGTATGCGGAGCTTCGTGGACGTTTCTTCAGCTTAGGCCTACTTCAACTTGAAGCTTCAGCAGTTTATATTTCAGCTACTGTTCGTGTACTGCAACTGAACAGGACTAGACAAGAGATTCCCTCAAGTACCGATTAATATTGGTTTTTGTTCAACAAGGTGTGCATTCTAGATCTAGATCTAGATCTAGATATAGACCATGATTGTCATGATACCATCATCAATAAATTATATATTATTTCTTGGCCTCATTTATATTATTATATTACGATAGATCAATTTTCTGTTTACAATCGGATAGACTCATGGCGAAAAGACTTCAGAATTCAGTTTCACCTTGAAGAGTTGAAGTAGTCCTAATTCTTCTTTGTGTCCGCTACTGTAAAAAAGATCTCAGGGGTAGAACTTTGACCATATTCGTGTAAAATACTTCAAATGTTAAAATATCAAAGTGTTGTTATAATCCAAGGAAGATTTTGGGTTTTATCAAAGAAGTTGGATTATTTCATAGGATATAGATTCTAGAAGGGTAATGTTATAGTTGTCAGTGTATGTGTAATTAATATTGTTAATATACGCATGTAAATTAAATAAGAGTCTTTACTATAGGCTATATATATATACAAAGATTTCTTTAAATATTTGTCCGTCCTTTTAATATGGTGATAGATTTGTTACTATTATAAAACTTGTTGGCACCTACATGACCAAAATTGAGTCGATAGTTCCGTAAAGCACGTACTCAATCAATCTTAAACATTGTTCGTTTGTCTTGCTTTCAATAAAGAAAATACCTATCTATCTTAAATAGAAGTAGAGATATTTACCATTGAAAGAGATTACAGTGGAAAAGTTAGCAAGGAAAATGGCCTCCAAAGTATGACGACTTCCATAGCTTGAGAATCCTTGGAAACTGAACATGCAATTACATTTTTTGTGGCTTGTTTAGTTATAGATCTAGCGTTTTCCCAGCAAAATCAACACAGAAATATGTTTGTGAAATGTGATAAAAAAGGGGATAAAAAAACTAAAGTTTGATCAAAATTGCGGAACTTGCGAAAAAATGCCGTTTTCTTCAATTTCGTTATTTCACCATGATGCCTCACAAATTATAATGTCCTCAATGAATGGGCCTGTACTGTTCCTGCCTACAGACGAAGCCACAAATGCCTTAATTCACTTCCCTCTAATAATGTAGCCTATAGTCTCATGTAGACATGAAGTATGCAGGCAAACAAGTATTAATGGGAATATAAAGCTTCTTGCGGTGCCCGTTGGTTACCCCTGAATAATATTAATATTGAAGCTCTGCTCTGAACAAAAACATTTTTTTAAACAGATCAATTTCTTCAGTTTTAGGTTTTATTGGGATTGCATTTTATTTTGCTTTAGCAGCTAGCTTGGGCAAGACTGCTCACCTTTGAGCTCAACTTTTAACTGCCTTTTGGTGTCTTTTTTTTACAATTTTGTATCAATATATGGGATGTTCAGGATTTTTTTCTTGTCTTTGGGCCAGAAAGTAGATTTTCTTTGTTCCAAAACCCTATCTGTCCCCTGGATAACAGGAGGGGAGGGAGGAGGTGGGGAGAACATGAGGGGGGGGGGAAGAAGTTTCAAATGGAAACATAAAAAGACCGTTTTTTAAATGATAATAGTAAATTAATATAAGAAATTACATTTTATTGATCCCCGTTTTTTTTGTGTGTGTTTTTTTTTTTTCAGATTGAACTTTCAAAGCTTTAACCATGACTGACAAAAATCTTTTGTCAACCCACAATTCCCTTTTGGACAAATGGACCAAGAGTGACTCCTCCTCCTTGGGAGGCTTGTCCTTGTCATCAGGTATGAGTTGTTTGTTTGGGGGGGGTTTTCAGCATTTTTGTGGGGTTCTATTTTGTTTGTGTGTGTGTGTGTGTCTGTTTTTCTACAACTTGAAACATGAACATATATATATTTAAATGTAAGTATGCTTTTCATTTTAATGAGTAATCATTGTACAAGGTTTGTCTCAGAAGAAAGTTTCCGTTTTCTGTAAAATCAAATAATTGTTATATCACAGACATGACATTTTGAACCTACGAACAAAAACATATTTTCTATTCAACGAAACAACTATTGATCTCTGTACACTTTTTCCTTCAATGTAGCCAGCTGTCAAACATAGTGCCATATGTGCATCATCCAGAGTCCTTAGCACAGTATTTGTTTGAAGCACAATTTCTTCCTTGCATTCAATCACTGTTACCCTTAATCCTTCCTTGATTCTGGGGGAAGAAATGAAAGTTACATGGTGGGTGACCTTTCAAGCAGTGTGCAGACCTTTTGTCATGATCGAAGACAACACTTTATTCTAGCAGATCCAACCGCTTTCTTCTGATTGCTGGTCTCAGATTTGTTTGAAGAACTGTCTTGTAATAGTCAGCATTTGACTGTTACGCGAGCAGGAACCAGTCAATTCCAAACCACACCTTTGAGATCGAAAAACATAAGAGTCATCACTTTCAAAGCACCTTCCTTGCATCAAATTTCTTGGGTCAGAATGATCCTGGATTTCTCCATTCTGCCGATTCTATTTTCAGTCCTGGATCCCATGAATACATCCATGTTTCATCACTTGTTATGACTCTTCTAAAAAGATATGTCTCTTTATTCCGCATCAGGTGTACAAAACCACATGTGCAGCAAACTCAATCTTCCTTTTGCTCATCAGATAGCAGATGACTTTCATAAGCTCTTCTGTAAGAATTCAATGAATTGTTGTCTTTGGCAAAACAGCTTCTTTTGCTATATCTCTCACTTGTCTTTGGAGAGAAGCTTGAACCTGCAAAATGTTTAGCTCAGAAACAGAACTGAGTCATCCAGAGTGCTCTGAATGTTCAAGATTGACATGCCTGTCATTCATCTCTCTCACATTTATTTTACTGTTTGAACATTGGGACAATTGGCACCTTGTACCCTTAGAAGTTTATGGTGTATTTCTTTGGATGATTTCACTCAAAGAACCATGAATTTGATGACACCACGAACATCATATTATTTGGAGCACGAGCCTTTTGTCTTCTAGGTCACCATAGCTTGAGCAATTCCAAAAAGTAACTGTAAACAAAGCGACCTAATGAGGTAAACTTCAACAAAGGATCATGATAACAATTTCTGGATGGCGAATTAATATAAAAATTATAGAGATTATGCACATGTTAAGATAATGGGATCATAAAATTACATAGTATTCGCTTGAAAAATGAGTATAAAAATAGAACATGAAAACTTTCTTCTGGGACGATCCTCATACATTTTTACATTGAAAAAGAATGTCATTTTTTTTTCCATAACTTTTCATCAATGAAATTGAATAGTATTGAAATGTGCAGTTTTATACTTTTCAATTTTATTTTTTTTATCATAGATGATTTACACGAGATCCCTCTGTTTTTGACAGACCTGTAGAAAGCATGAAATTGTTTGTATAGAAATTGGGACTTAAATTTATTTAGGATATGCTCTGACTTTGCTTTCAGTCTGTAGAGTTGTTTTTGTTGTGTTTTTTTCAGTTGCAGGAAATATTTGTGTGCAATGTAGAATTTAGTTAAAATTTGTAGAAAATCAATTTTTAAAATGTATTTTTCTCTCAGGCAAACTAAGTGGAACCTCATCATTGTTGAGCACATCAGGGACCTCCAAACCAACATCAGGCTTTGGGTCTCTTGGAACCTCGCTGTCCACAAGCCTCAGTGGTTCATCTACTCTGGGCAACAAAGGCTCAAGCTTGCTTTCCTCTTCTACTTTGGGCAAACCGTCCCTTCTCAGCAGTGGCTCTAGCCTTCAGTCAAAGCTCAGTCTCTCCTCAACGACAAGTTCTCTGCTTCGACCAAGCTCCTTGCTAACCTCTACTCTGACGCCATCTGGAGGCTTATTGTCTTCAAAATCTGAGAAGGCCCCAGCCATTGAATCAAGTCTCAATAAGCTGAGTCTTGCAAGTGCTCACAGTCCCAAGTATGACACAAAAGCCTCTGAAAGGGGAACCACAAAATATGGACTTGGAAGTGCTAAGAAGCGCCTCACTAAGGACTCTCAAAAGACTGAGAAAAAGAAGAAGGTTGTTGGTCATGGAGGAGAAGTGATGGCCCAGGTGATCAGACGCCATGCCATAAAAGCCCCAGATTACTTCATCAAATGTGAGAATGAAGAGGAATATATGGACATGGACATTCCCCAGTTTGTCCCTCCCTCAGAGGACATGCGACTGGCTCCATCTGTGGCAAGATCACTCACTGATGTAGTTGGAATTAAGGTAAGAAGCTTGATCTCCCGAATGCCTTTTTGAAAGTGATGTAATAGCTGTTCGCTTTTGTAAAGGAATGAAATAGTTTGTTTTCCAAGGTTGGGCAATAAGTGTATGTGTACATCTGATGATAAATGAATTCAAAAATTGGAAATGGGTCTACCTGCTGAGGGTTGGGCCAATTTTTCATTCTAAGAAACTCTAACTAATTCTAGCCCAAAATAGTTTTGCATTTTGTATGTAATGCTAATTCAAAAGGTCTTTCTCTGTATTTTCTTACACAGCGGGGCCTCATCAACTGGGTGAGTGGATCTCTCATTAGTCAACCAGACTTTACCAAAAAAGACAATCCCATGCGGCTGCAGATTGTTGAGAACGTCACAGCTGTGGTGGAATACGACCCGGAGTTCATTCTGAAAGTAAGTTTGTGAGATTGATTTGAGTGAAGTGTTAAGTGTTTTATATACAAAAGTTTGTATGTTTGTTAGTTGTTTTTTTTTGGGGGGGGGGTTCAAAGACAACAACTCTTTTGAGCTGTTTTTAGCATGTCTTTGTAACACATGATACTTGTGTTTGTGCGTATGTGTGTGTGTGTATGTGTGTGTGCGTGTGTGCGTGTGTGTGTGTTCACTGTATTTATAATTTATGCAAATTTGTATGAATTGTAAAGATTTAAAAAAATAAAAGAACAGATCTGGGAATTTTTTTTTACCTATAAAGAAGGATTTCCTTTTTTTTACTCCCAGGGTGCTTAAATATTAGGATTTTTAACAAGCCTCTCACAGGCAAGCAAACAGGCATGTTTGGAATAAGGGATATTCACAAGTGTTATAAATGGTTCACCTTAGAGGGTGGTTGACAGGTGTTCTGGTATGGTTTACTCCTTCTTTCTTATCGAACATCTATCGTCCTTATCTCTCCTTCTTTTTTCCTTTTTTACCCTTTAGTAGAACCTCTTATCTTTGGTTCGAAGATGACGTAAATGTGCTGCAAGTGCCGTTAAACTCTTACTACCTCTTCTAAACTAAAGAAAGGAAAAGGTTCACTGTGTCATGTTTTCATGATCGTTTTTCAGGTGGCCTTGTACTCGAGGAAAGAGCTGCATATCCGCACCACTTCAAACTTCTTGTTGGCCCTGGCTGCCAGCATCAGCCCATGCAGGCAATTTTTGAAGAAGTACTTCAGCGCCTCAATTGCTTTGCCAAGTGACTGGATTGAAGTTGCTGAAATATTCCAGGTAAAGGGCTCAATATTTTGTATCAAATCTTGTTTTGATTGAGGGGGAGAAGACCGGTGTCTGTGGTGTGGCGGTTAGGTGATTTGCTGTAGCATGCGCGAGACTGGGGTTTGTTTCCTGTGCTGGGGAGGGAGAAATTTTTACTGAGTATCTCGGTCTATATTATGGAAAGCTGTATCCCTCTCAACCCGGATTGGCCCTAACAGGCAGGGTAGGAAACCCTCCTCTTAAATGAACTAAATTGTGTCAATGGAGGCGTAAAAACACAACGCCTATATTTAAAAAATATGAGAAATTTTTGTTTGAAAAGGAAGAGATGGTTTTGACGTTTTTTGTTTTTTTCTTTGCAGCTTTTTCTTTATTTTTTGTTGCAAAAGTGTGTGGGATTTTTTCTTGGTCTCGTTTCAGAATATCTTATGAAATGTATATTTTTTATTACACAGCCATTGATCAGTGACCTATTTAACATTTTTCAAAATCTTAATCCTTACTTCTCAAGTGAATTTCAGTATAAAATCAAGGATAATTAAATCAAGCTCAGTTTTTTCTATGTATGCAAGTCATAATTCTCTGTTTTCTTTCTGTAGACATTGGAAGGTGGCAACTTGAAACTTGGTTCACTTCCAGCGGCACTGAGAAAGGCAATGATCAACAAGTTTCCTGAATTTGACAAATATCAACTGGGTAAGTTTGTTAGTTTGTTTTTAGGGTGTTTTTTCAATTTCAGTTGTAATGAAGTATATGTATTTTTTTAGAATGGTAACCCATGTCTTAAGAAAATGAATGTGAATAAATAGAATGTTAAAGGATAGCAACTTTTAGTTAATTTAAATAGACTTGAAGCTGCTTATTTTTTACTTATCTTTTGTGGCGATTTTAGGAGTTGTTCTTTAGGAGCGGGAGAAACAGTTGCTTGAACTTATTTACCATTCGTGTTGGTACACAGTCATATTTACTTCCATACTGTTAGTTATGTCACATATGTTTCCCTCTCCCCAAAAAAGTTATCACAATTTCTTTACAGCCAAGTACAACAAAGACAGCTCCGGGAAGAAAAAAGCTAAAAAAGCTAAAAAAGCTGAAGCTTCAAAGAAGAAAAAAACCCCCAAGAAATTACGTTTGTTTGACAGCGACTCAAGCGATGACGAGGATGATGAAGACAAGAATAAAAAAGCTATCCGACAGGTATGTAATTAGTTTATAGGATTGCTCACAAAGTATCACATATATGTATTATAACAATCATAGTGTTGCAGCCTTATTTTCATCTTTAAATTCTTACTTTTTATTCCCTTTTTGTGGGAAAGAAGGCTAATTTCTTTCAGGGGTTTATCTTTCTGGTCTTAAGTTGGCAATTTCAATTTTCAGTGGTTCATGCAACCATTGTGGACAGATTTATGTTATAGCCCTGCACTCTAAGGATAGAAGGAAAAATAGGGAGCTGTGCTTTATAGATGTTATCAAACTAAGAAAAAAAATATATATCGTAGAAGTTAGTATAAAAAGTGACTTTACAACATGAAATTGATACGGTATCGTAGTAAAACACAATCGATGAGACAGTGAAACCCTGTGTTTCTGTCCCTGTATGACCTTTCTTCACTTGAAATGATTCATAGTCTTTGAAGCTTTCTTTTAAAGCAATTTAACCAAATGAAGAATTCAACTTCATAGTTTAATTTTTGTAGTAATTTTTTGTCTTCAATGTCATGATTTGTCATTAACTGGATGGTAAAAATGGTTGAAATTATAATCATTTATGTTGAACGTTTCAGCTGAGCAGCATTGCATATGATGAGAAAGAAAGCAGTGAACAGATCGCCAAACAGCACTTCACCATTAAACAGCTGATTCGCAAACTGCATATCAGAGAACCCGTGGAACATATCATGTCCATTATCGGGAAAAAGTATGAATATTTTTTATAGAAATAGTTTCCTCGATTTTTTTTTAAAACCCCATGTTAAGTGGTGTGTGTATGGTGAATTCATGATTATGAGTCTGTGAGAATGACATTTTGTGCTTTCTGAATTGAGTGAAAAGTGAAACCCGTTATTGAAGAACACCACTGGCTGGTCCTACTTCATCACTTTCTTTTTGTTGTTTCACTCTTGCATTTTTTAAAAATCGAATGATTGGTGATAATTATGTTGATGTGTTCCTCTTTAACGTGATCTAAGACAAGTCTGGAGATTGTAGTTGTTGTTTTAGCTTATTTTTAACATCCCTGTTGCCGGCGAGAAAAATTGCATGTGGAGACAGTGCATTTTTATCTTTTCTTACCTCATTTGATGGTAGAGCAGTTGAAGTGCTCCTCCTCCTCCATTTCTCTTTCTCTTCCCCTCCTTCTCCTCTCCTCCCTCTCTCTCTCTCTCTCTCTCTCTCTCTCTCTCTCTCTCTCTCTCTC